AGCTGTTCCCAGGAGAAAGATGAGGCTTTCTGCTCCTGTAAAGATTTACAGCCTTGGAAATCCTGTACAGGGTTGCTATAAGTCGGAACCGACTCCAAGGCTCCTCACCACCACCATCACCACCACCACCAACCACCACCACATTATTGAGGAGTCCTGGCGTGGTGCTGTGGGTTAATGCGTAGGACTGCAGTCGTTTGAACTGCAAAGTCGGCGGTTCAAGCTCACCAGCTGCCCCTTGGAAACCCATACAGGGTCACTATGAGTCAGAATTGACTCAACAGCACTTAACAACATCATCATTATTGAAGGAGTGCAGTAGCTCTGTAGGATAAGCAATGCACTGCTAACAGTAAGTTTAGCAGTTCAAGCCCACCAGTTGTTCCAAGGGAGAAAGATGAGACTTTCTAGTCCTGTAAACATTTAAAATCTCAGAAACTCTATACAAGGTTGCTAAGGAGTCAGAAGTAACTCAAGATCGCTTAACAACCACAATCATTGATTTTGATTAAGAATTCCGTAGAAGAATCCTGATCAAAAGGTGGAAAATACAAAACAGAAATTTAAATTCCCATAGACTTCAGACTTCCTGGAGCCACGGAGGGTGAAACCCACCCCCAACCCCCCACAAAAAACCATTGTCCTGAGATAATCTTTAAGCCTTAATAAGCCAAAAATATCTCCCCCTGAAGTCTTCTTAAAACCAACTGTAGTTAAACAGTTATCTGTCCCCTCTGATTGAGAATATGCTTTCATCAAGATTTACGGCCTTGGGAAACCCTATGGAGCAGTTCTGCTTTGACCTACAGAGATGTTAGGAGTAGGAACTGACAGGCAGTTGGCAGTGGGTTGGGTTTTTAGGTTTAGATGGGTTCCAGACAACAGCAACTAGAAAAATTAGCTAGGGGGTGTTAATTATATGTTAATGAGGGAAGAAACAACTCTAGAAAAGGAGAGTGAAATGTTGCAATCAAGGTCACTAAATGGTACACATTCTTGTAGTTAAGTGCTTTGGAGTCAGTTCTAACTCACATTACCCTGTATAGGGTTTCTGAGGAGTGGCTGGTGGATATGAACTGCCAACTGTGCATTTAGCAGTTTAGTGTTTATCCTACAGCGCCACACCAGGACTCCATATAAACTGCTGAAATGGTCTATGTTTTGTTATTCATATTCTCACCACCAATATAAACCAATTAAAAAATCACATATGAGAGATCAAATGGTCAACTATTACGCAAATCAAAAGTTAAGAGGGCAGGCAAACAAGACTGTTAGAAGTAAAACTCCAAAGTGGAATTAATGAGAATGCTGACAAACCACGAAAAATGTAACCAATGCCTCTGAGCAACTTGTACAGTAATTGTTAAATGGGAACCAAATTTGCTGGGTAAACTTTCACCAAAACACAGCATTATGTAAAAGAAAACAAACCAACAAAAAGAAAAACCTGGTTCTTGCTTTGAAATGTACATTATACAACCTGATTTCTATGTATCTTGGAAGATATTCAAAAGTTTCAGATTTCAATTTCACAAACTCAAATCACAAAATGGACTCACATCCGATTAAGGTACCAGGGGAGAAAAGCACATAGGACCAGTTTTATTATCTGAACTGCAACCATACCTTAGATTTCTTAACAGAAGTGATTCCTGTTTGAGTCTGTTCAGACCAAGCTGAACACCAAATATGGTTATGAAGGACACCCTTCTGGCAGTGATATGCCTTCCTCTGGAATTCTGCATAGTGACCTTTTCAGATAGTTGTTATTGTTAAGTGCTGTCAATATATTAAAGGTGGCACCGTCTCCGTGTTCAATCTTCATTCCCTACTTAATCAGAAGGCTCAAACACTACATCACCATTCACTGTTATTGTAGTTAGGTGTCATCGAGTCAGTTCCCACTCACAGTGACCTTGCATAGGGTTTCTGAGGAGCAGCTGGTGAGCTTGAACCTCCGACCCTGCAGTTCAAACACTAAATCATCATTCACTAGGAAAGGAAAACAGTGTTTTGATTTAGGTACGGTATAGGACATGATGATCTAATAATTAGTCTAATTTCAATGAACTACAACCGTCTTAATTTTTGTCCTGGCAGCTTTTAAGTTTACCATACAATGAATGTTGATTAGCACAAATAATGATGCAAATGTTTATGTTACACTTTTATGATGTATGTTGTTGCTCAGAGCCATTGAGTCGACTCTGTATAGGGTTTCTGTACACGGTCGCTATGAGTTGGAATAGACTTGAAGGCACATAACAACAACAACATATATATACTTCCACACTAAAATGATTACCAGTTTCCTAAAAGCCAACCATTCATTAGTGACTGATGGACAACTCTAGTAACCTACCCATTTTTGCTAATATTGACATTTAAATGGATTTATTTACATTACTATGGAAATTTTCAAATAAAAAACAAGTAACTTTTTCCAATGGAAACATTCTAGAATAAACATAAGATTCCTGTAGCAATTACTTGTTTTCTTTTAGCTCTTTCCTTATATTATGTCATATTCAGGCTACATCAGAAGGATGAATTCCAATCTAAATACATTGTATGAATGCTAAATATTAGCATTTTAAAAGAACATCAGTGATACACTTATAGATAATGCATAAACACCAACCAAATCTGGAGCAATAAGGCATTCTTAATGCAAGTGTGAGAGGGAAATAGCTTTTGATGTGTCAACTACTGCTGTAGCTGAGTAATCACAAAAACTAAGAAAAGGAGTAGCCTCTTGTTTGCCAACTAACAACCCAGGCTTCCTCTGATTCTATGTAAAATATACCATCACGAAGGAAAAGGATGACTACTTGGCCTCACTATGATGTCATTTATAGCAAGAGTTGTTTGTGAACTTGTTAACAAGGAATGATCAAGATAGTCTTCACACAGTAGTAGTTAGCAGATAGTGACCTAATGACTTGTTTGCCAAAGTCTACTCAGAGGGCCATGGAGTTAGGGCATTCATTTGGACACCTTTACATTCAGCCTTAAACAACTTTACTAGTGTCCTGGTGTGGCACTTTGGGTTAATGCACTGGACTGCACAGTCACTCTGATCTTCAAGGTCAGCGGTTCAAGTTCGCCAGCTGCTCCTCAGGTCCCTGTGGGTTGGAACTGACTCAATGGCATTTAACAACATATGTCAATGCTTTCCATTATCAACGTTGTCATATGTCTTGTGACCTTTTTGCCCTACTTCTAAACAAAACTGTCCAAATTAGATGGCAAATGAACACAGTAAAGATTAGAATGAAATGCAATGCAAAAATTAATGTAGAAAAATGTTATGCCATATGGCATTACCAAAAAATGTCATAATTTTTAATTTTTAGCCATGGTTTACTGTTATGAATGCAATGTAATTGTTCATTTCTAATCACATTTTGAACGGGAATGCCATTTTCAGACCTTTCAACACCAAATGCACTAATCCAAACTCACTGCTATCAGGTGGAGTTTGATTCAGTGACCCCTGTATTGGAGGAAGCAGAAAGCCTCATGTTCCTCCAGGAAGCAGCTGGCAGGTTTGAACTACGGACTTTGTGGTAAGTAATCTAATGTTTATCTTAGAGTGCCACCAGGGCTCCCCTTTCAACACCAGAGGTATAAAAAATGATAAGGCATCAACAAATCAACCTAACATTCTGGTCTCCTTGACACTCATCATCAGCCAACTCTAATTATACTTTGTTTTACAAAGGGACAAGGTCTCACCAATCTTGGGATCATCAAAATGAATTTTCTTCAAGGTAGATCTTATGTGTGTAAGTATAAGTCTAATAAAATGTGAAATCGACCTCACTGGAAGACTTTTTTCCAAAAGTTTGCTATTACATCTTCTTTCTGTTACCAAAAATTAGCACTTTCTAGACTGTTAAGTGTCATGGAGTCAGTTTTGACAGTTGCTAGTGAGTTTGAACCGCTGACCTTGTCGTCCAGTGCTTACCCTACAGCTAGCTTCATACCAGGACTCCTGTCCTACATTGTTGTTGTTGTTAAGTGTCCTCGAGTCAGTTCTGACCCATAGCAACCCTGTATAGGGTTTCCAAGGAGCAGCTGGTGAGCTTGAACCCGCGGCCTTGGGGTTCAAAGCAACTTTGCAGTCCAGTGCATTAGCCCACAGCGCCACACCTGTCCTAGATTATTACCCATAAAATCTATTAAGGGTGAGATTCTGGATCTTTCTGAGCACTTATTTGACCCAGATCTGGATCTGATACAACAGCTGAAATGCATCACGTCGCTTTTAAAAGAAAAAGTCACGGTTCTTTTTCACTGTCTTCAATTGGCCAGTGGGTTTATTACTAACATGAAGTCATTCATGGCTCCAGAGGTGAGTTCAGGTATACCTGCAGTTCGTTTAGTAGGTTTGCTCCTCCCACAGGAGAAACAAATACGTGGTTCAACATGCAGTGGTAGGTTTCTGAAAAACGAAACACCTTCACTACTTCGGGGACCGAAGGGCAGCCACACAGCTCAACGTTCCTAGGTGAAGTTTCTCAATTAACCGCACATTACTTTGCAAAAGGATCAACAGCACTTCATGAATAGTAATCTGGAGACTCTCCAAACACCGCCAACAGCAACAGCGCACACGCGTCGTTGTAGTTAACTGCCGCCGAGTCGATTCCGACTCAAGGCGAGGATTCCCGAGGAGCGGCTGGTGGGTTGGAACCACCGGCCTTGCAGTTAGCAGTCCAGTGTTTATCCACCAGCGCCATACCACAAACACACTAGATTTGCTCCCCGGACGGATTCTCCGACGCACCAGGCGAAGACGGGTGGGGGCGATCAGAGAAACCCAGGAGCTGCGCAGCCTCCCTCCCCTGGGTCACCGGAGCCCGCGAACCCCGTAGGGAGGCGTGGGGACATCTCGGCTCCCTGTCTCGACTCGGCACCCGCCACTTCCCTGAACTCCGGGCCCAGCCAGGCCCAAAGGCACAGGGTCGGGTTAAGGGTGGGGGACCACTCACCGCGATCATGACCGTGTCTTCTCCCTGAAACTTAGCGACATACTTATCGCCGCGGGTGACCTCAGACTCATTGAGAGGTCTGAAGCGACACATCACTTTGATGTTGCACTCGGCCGGGTCCGCCATCTTCCTCGCTGCCGGGGCCAGAGGCCGGGAGCCACTCCCCGCCGCTCAGTCTTGAAGAAGCGTGAGCGAGCCGGGCGGCCTGGACTGCCAGCGCCAGCGAGCAGGGGTCGTGAGGGCGTCGGGATTCTGCGGTCGTCCGCAAAGAGGGCGGCCGGGAAGCCGAGACTTGGAGCGCCGGCGCCGGCAGCCGTCGCCCTGAGGCTCACTTCCGATCCATCATGGCAGCCATGGCGGCAGCGCCGGTAAAGCGTCCCGCGGCTCCTCAACTTTTTCTCGCCGGACAGGATCAACTACAAGGCTGAGAAGATTCTTCAGGGCAATAAAATCGCTCCCTTCTCCCTTTTTTTTTTTTTTCCGGACAAGAGCGGTCCGGGCAGACAGTCTGGCCGACCAGCTGTTCCTTTGCCGACTTGCGGGATACCGCCCCGAACTGTCTTCAGGGCGCAACCACCGGGATGGGGCGGTGGGGAGCCGGGGATGGGCGGTGCGAGCGAAGGGACGGCGCATGCGCTGCGGGGCCCAGGCGCTCGGGCGACCAATCCCCGCCCGCGCCCAGCCGCCCCCTCGGTGCGACCGCCTCTCGCGACCACTTTTCGCCGGCGGTTTGCAAATTTGAGTTTCACTGAACGCTCTTTTCAAAAAGTGAGTATGGAGACCGGACTGCTGCTTCCCAAGACCCGCCCGCCGCGGAATTCCCTTGAGCCACGACCGACTCGCTTAGCTTTGTTTTCTTTGTGGGGGAAGGGACCTGTTCTGACTGCTTATTGTTGTTACTTAAGTAAAATACTATGTTCTGAAAAAGAAGGGTTTGCTTTTATTTTGGTCTAGGTAAAAACTTGGTTCCTAGTGGACCTTTGAAGAATGGGTTGCAAGAAAAAGGAAGAGAATTTGAATAAAGGGTGTGACGTGCCTCTCCGATTTTAGAGGTTGCCCCTTCTTGAGAGTGGATTGGCCTGGCAGGAATAAGAAAGAAACTGGAAATTTCCCCGAAGCAAGGTAGACTCTCTGGTAGCGTAGTGCCTACGAATCGGGCTGCTAACATTAGGGTCAGCAGTTCGAAACTACCAGCTGTTCCACGGGAGAAAGATGAGGCTTTCTGCTCCCGTAAAGATTTACAGCCTCGGAAACTCTGTAGTCGGAACGACTCCACGGCACATAACAACAACAATGTAGAACCTTGCAGCAATGTGTGAGAAAGTCCTCAGTGAATCGGAGGGCCCACTGAAACAGATAATTTGTGGAACTCATCGACCCTAACACTTGAGACAGTGGCATCTGTAGGATTGGGTGTCACACCCTCCCTCATGGACCTCCTTCCTTACCAGACAGCACAGAATCCTTAGAAATGTTCATTAACAATTTTATTCCAAACAATGTGTGATACACATAGTTATAAACTGCTAGACAGGAAAAATACAAAACAATAAGGGTTTTGTTTTGGCTGACTACAAAATACAAAACAATAAGGCCGACTACAAAAATGGGCCAGTTGCTCGCTCAGGAGACATCAAGGCAAGTGGTCAGGTGCGCTCATGGCAAACCCCCTTCCAAAACTAAGACTCAAGGAGAATACATGAGCAGACACATGCTCTGCTGGTGACCACGTTGGTCACCGATAAGGGGAAGTGAGGGAAAAACAGCAATGAAGCTGCGAGCTTAGTCCTACCATGTTCAATAGACTCCTGTGAACCCGGGTTGAGACCTGGTTGGCCAGCAGTATGGCAAGACCTGGGGAGTCCTGGGTCCAGAGTTAGTGACATAGCCATAAAGGACTAGAGTGGAGAGTGAAGCGTCCAGCTTATTAGAAAGGCAATATACGCAAGAACACCCACACTTTCAGATAATACGCACTTGACCTGGCTTCAATGACTGGATGATCAGAACTCAATTAGAATAAGAAAGAAGAGGAAAAAAAGAGTAATCTGATACAATTTGATGAACTTGGCTTACACTTATGGATGCAGTAGCTCAAAAGAGAGAACAAATCTTTACAGCGAGGATCATTCCCACCCTCTTGATTGATATACAAGGTAGACAGGGATGGGCAACTTGGACATTGGCTACCCAAAGTGTGTGTGTGTGTGTGGGGGGGGGCGCGCTGGCTACAAAGGCAAGAAGTGACTGGCTTACAAGCTTTCAAGAGGGAGCCTAGATTCAGAGGGTGCGGAGGAAGGTAGAATCTCCCGAGTAGTATCTAATCTGTCATCTCCACTGAGTAGTATCCAATCTGTCTGGGCGGGGCTGATGAAAGGCAATGCGGATAGGACTCTCATGGTTCAATAGTGAATAATTGCTATCAGGACTGACTGTGAGGGTTGGAATTGTAGATGTTGTGTAGTGAGAGGAGGGGAGTGGTTGACTTTGCAGTCCAGGAGCGGAGGTCCCTGGGACCATCAAGGGAGAAGAGCAGAGAGCGGGACCCTAGCCAGAGAAGCAGTGACGCCAGAGATGGAGGCAGAGACGATGACACGGAGAGATGGAGCAGCTGGGGAGTCTAGACCTAGAGAGGGTAAAGGGCTGCATGCTGACAACCAAGGGGCAGGCTTGCAGGTTATACCCTTTGGTTGGTTGATGCATGGAATGGACTGTAACCATGGTAATGAAACAATATATGATAGGATGAATGTAAAGCTAATGTTCTCCCTTGTAAGCTATCACATAATTCACAATTAAACATTGAAAAAAAATGTTACTGATGTAAATTCACAAATACTAATTACCACAAAATTGTAGCTAAAATGCCAGAAATATGACAAAATCAGTAACTATAAAAACATTAGCAGCAACAAAAACAAGTGTGTGCTTCAAGTGTGTGCAGCTGAAGCCTCGTGGTTAGAAACATCATTGTAATTGGCTAAAAATGGCAGTTCTGAAGGTTCAAAAAGTAAACTAGTATGCATGAACTAGAACTCTAGTGAGATTTTTTTTTTTTTCTTACTCTGACATCTCAAAAAGACCGATTTAAAACTCCCCTATGATAATTCTGGTAGCGTAGTGGTTACAAATTGGGCTGTGAACTGCAAGGTTAGCAGTTTGAAACTGCCCGCTGTTCTGCGGGAGAAAGAGGAGGCTTTCTGCTGCCGTAAAGATTTACAACCTTGGAAACCCTGTACAGGGTCGCTGTGAGTTGGAACCGACTGCACGGCACATAACCACCACCAGGATAATTCTGACTCACTAAAATAACAAAGACAACTATTCACACAGAGGACTATAATCTCAGGTATAAACCCTTGCCCTCAAATTAATTCCATCTCATTGCATTCTTATAGGATAGAGCACAGCTGCCCCAGTGGCAGAGGCATATTTAAAGAAAACCAGCTAGAACTATTTAAATTGCTGAATGTCTCTCACAACTGGTGATGGGCACTGCCATGGTGATTAAAAACTGTTCATGGGTGCCCTCCTCAAGTGGCGCCCAGGGTACATCCTATTCCTGCCATACCCTAGACACCTCACTGCCCACAGGGTTTTTAATGTTGTAAATCTTTACTGAAGCAGACGATCACATCTTTCTCCTGTAAGGAAGCTAGTGAGTTTGAATCACTGATCTTTTGGTTAGCAGCCAAGCTCCTAACCATTACGTCACCAGGGTTCTTACCACAGGTTAGGATTTACAATACATATCTTGGGGGACACAATTCAATCCATAATAACAGCTTTTTCTTATGAAATATGGGTGGTGCTTTTACCTACACAGATGTAGAATATTAAATCTCCACTGTGAAAGTCAGTCCTCCCAAAACAGTTTTCCAATGAACCGTGCTTACCTTTGTGTAGTCTCTTCTTGAATCTGGCCTGGCCCTGTAACTCATTTGTAACCAGTAAAATGTGGCAGAAGTGTGACACTGTATGATCTTTGACACTAGGTGTGAAGAACTCTGGGTCTTTGAAACACCCTTTCCGGAAGTTCTGAATTATGTAAAAAGTCCTCTAAGATGGGGACTCCTGGTGGGGCGCTATAGAATAAGTACCGAACTGCACACTACAAGGCCGATGGTTCAAACCTATCAGCTGCTCCCTGGAAAACCTATACAGGGTCGCCAAGAGTCAGAACCAACAGAATGGCATTTAATAGCAACAACTCTTAGGCCATATGCAGCCCTGGTAGCATAGTGGAATACGTATTGGGCAGCTAACCACAAGGTCAGCAGTTCAAATCCACTGGTATGCAGATCATCTAAATAATCCACTGGTATGCAAATAATTCACTGTGGACAGGTTTTCGTAGAGTTTCAGCAGTTTGAACCTACCAGCTATTATGCGAGAGAAAGATGAGGTTTTCTGCTTCCATAAAGATTGACAGCCTTGGAAACCCTATACGGGGTCGCTACGGGTCAGATTCAACTCACTTAACAACAACAAAATAGACCTGGCAGGAGTCCTGGCGTGGTCCTTTATGTTAATGTACTGGACTGTAAAGTCCGCTTGATCCTCAAGGTCAGTGGTTCAAGCTCACCAAGCCACTCCTCAGAAACCCTACATAGGGTCACTATGGGTCAGAATTGACTCAATGCACTTAACAACGACAACAGATCTGACACTTTACTTCTGAAAAAATGGCGAGTGAAAACCAAAGATGAAAGATGAAGTCTTATGCTCCTGTAAAGATTTACAGCCTCACTATAAGTCAGAACCGACGCAGATGTGACACATAACAGCACCTGAGACCACACCATACATTGGCACGTAGTCCCAGCTGATGACAGCCTTTCAGTCACCCCATCCAGGCACCAGATATGTGAAGGAGGCCATCTCAAATTGCTCAGATCAGCACACTCACTAACCTAGTATCAATTGACACCCTTGAAGCAGAAGAATCACCCAGCTGAGGCCTGCCCAAATTCCTGACCCATAATAGCATGAGATATAATAAAAATGATTATTGTTTTAAGCTGCCCATGTTTGAATAATTTCTTAGATGGCAAAAGATAACTGGAGTAATCCCCTACAAGTCTGAACTTAAAATTTATCTCTTAGAAATAACCCTATAAAATGTT